GGGTCCGTCGGTGTCGGTCCCGGGCCGTTGTCGCTAAAGGGTGGTCTATTAGAGGGAGGTGTGTCCACCGCCGAGAACAGGCACCCATGCCGGCTTCAAACGCTTTCGCCTTTGCTCTCAGGTCTTAGATTATCGCATAGGCTTGCCTAAGGCAAATCGGCTCGTGTAGTGATGCCTGGTTGCCTGGCGGACTTTTGCGTCACGCTACTGTGCCAGTCAGTCTGTAATGTGATTCAGTGACCGCGCGCGCCCCATCCTTGCCTCTCCTGGAAAACATCGGTTTCGCCTGTGGGTGTTTCTGGGAGGCCCTCGCCGCCACCGAGAGGGGTCTGCTGGAGGTGCCGGTCATCACCAGGCGCGGGAGAGGTCCGGGACGTAGCGGTGCATCGACACTTTTCGTGGCTTCCCCAGAGCGGAGGGCGGCGCGCAGAGGGAATAGCAGAAGGCGGCACAGGCACGCTTTCTCGGGGGTCGCGCGCGGCCGTCTTGGACAGCCGAGCGGGCCTGGGCGACGGGCGGCGACGAAGCGGCGAAGGGGCAGCGGCGGCGACAACATAGCCGCCATACCGACAGACATTCCCGGTTTTTGGGAAGAGAAATAAGATCGGGGCTCCAGGGGCGGGGGTCAATGCAAACAGGGGTCTCAGAGCGCCAGATGTTGCAGGGTCTTGCAGGGCCAGGGTCGCATTGACTGGGGCTTGGGAGCAAGGTCTTGCAGGATGTTGCAAGACCCGACTGAGCCGGGTCTGGATTGACCTGAGTCAGTAGATCCCCGACGAGAGCCTTCAAGTGCAAGCACTGTGTTGGAAATGTCTCGGGGGTCCGTGCGGATTCCTTGGATCGGCGCCTGTGACCCCCTCTGGCGGCGTCTCTGGTAGCGCCGATCCAAGAAATCCTCGCGGCGCTCCGACAGCTTATGTGCTTGACGTTGTTCCTTTCTCTATAGAGGAGGGCTGGAAGTGGCGTCCGCGGTTCGGTCGGTTCGACGACGCCGCAGTCGGTCGCACTCGGTCGGCGCTCGGTTCGGTGGGCTGTCGTGTCGCTGTTGCCTCGCTGCGTCCTACTGGGCGCCTTGCGGCCTGTTGGTTTCGGGTTCGCTATCGGTTCGATCGGTGTTCGGCTGTGCTGTCGCCGTGGATGGCCTCGGGTCGGCGCCAGGGGCGCGGCCTCGTAACTGCGGCCTTCTTGGAACGTGCAGCGAGCTCAGAGGAGAACGTCTACCGAGACCAGTCCTCGTCGCCACGGCCGCACTCGCCTCGAAACCCTGGTCAGAGCGCGCCCTGGGAGAGGTCCAGAGGGTAGCGGTATGGGTATGTATGGTGCTGTCCACCCCCAAGAGACGAAAAGGGGCCGCGCCCTTCTGAGAAGCCCCCACCCGCCTTCTGACAAGGTCCCCGCCCCCTCGCCCCCCCGCCTGCCCGTTGGAACAGCCAGGGCAGTGGGACCCAATCTGCCCACTTTCGGATAGGGCGGGAGGCGAGGCGTGCCCGCCCACCCCTCCGCAGGAGGAAGCGAGGGCGGGCGGGCGGGCGCTTTCTGGAGGGGTGCGGGGGGGGGGGCGGTGTGTTCGGGCAGTGCGTCATGGGGGGTGCGACGAAGTGAAGGTGCACCTCAGAGGGGCCCTCTGGGGCCCGAGAGGTGTGCGCTTCTTCGCCCCCCCCCCGCTCATCTAACGCCCCCCAGCGAAGCAGCG